GAAGAGGGCTCAAATGTAGTGAAATTAGGACTAAAAAGGTCCAAAAGTGGACCTCTCTCTCTCTTTCTCGGCGTATCACTTTCCAAAGCGCACGTTTCAATTTTCAAAAATTGAGAAATTACAAGTACAAATGATATAAAACCGCAATTGTCCAAGCCAATACACATTATTGAGAAGGAAAATGATCAAAATACATAAGAAGGAAGTAGGAAGTGTACAAGTGGTGTCTTTGTCCAGTGAGCGTTACAGCTAGTGCAACTATTCTGTGAGTTGAAACAGAAGGTGTCTTTGCTTTTGTGACTTCATTGTCAACTATGAAATTGCAGATGGTTAATACCCCCCGTCAACACAATTAAGTTTATTTACGAGGCAGAAACCCAACTCATCGAATTCATCTCTTCTACGTGAGACAGCGAAGCGCCTTGCCGTTACATCACAGACTACGGTTTTGTGTGTCTTGATTAACGATTAACATATTCATCATCAGCAACATTGCCTTTCTCACCCTGCACCAGGGTATAGGCCACGGACAAACACCCTCCACCTTTCTCTTTCCTGGGCTAGCCTCTTGATGTTATTCCATGTCTTCCCACTTTTCTGCGATTCTTCTCCAGGTTCCACGCGGTCTTCCTCTTGTACTCTTACCCTGTGGGTTCCAATCCAAAACTTTCTTTGTTATGCAGCTGCCTGACTTCCTGAGAGTATGTCCAAATCCATTGCCACCGCCTTCTTCCTACCTCCCATAATTCTTTCATACCCTAAGTTGTCCTGACCAATCTTGGCATTGGCATCTCCCATTATGCTGTTGACATCCTTCCTTGGTAGTTTGTCGATGACCCCCTGAAGCTGGCTGTAAAAGGCATCCTTGTCTTCATCCGAAGCATCTTTTGTTGGGGCGGAGATTTGGACTATATTCATGTTGATGCGCTTGCCCCTTGTAGTGAATGAAGCCATGATGATCCTTTCCTCGTGTGGTTCCCATACTCTTAAGTGACTTCTGCGCATACTTACTCAAAATAATTCCCACTCCTTCCGAACGGTACTTGTCTTCCCTCCCAGAATACAATACTTGTTCCCCCGAGCTGAGCTGCTTCTGTCCAGACTGTGCCCAGTGTATTTCGCTAACTCCTAGTATGTGCAGCCTGTATCTCTTCATCTCTTGTACTACTTGAGAACTCTTTCCTGCTTCATACAAGGTGCGAACATTCCACGACGCAATCCGGAGAGACTTGTTCGACAGAGAAGGTTTCGTGTCAGAAGAGTCCTTTCGGCTTT